ACAGTCACAATTAATATTATAATTTACTGTTTTTATTCATTCATATTTTCATTGTAATCTTTTTTTTGCTTTATTCAAACTATATCTTAGTTATAATCTGTAATAATAATAATAAATAACATAAAATAAAAATGTTCCTCAGACGATTATATTCAAAGACTAGAGCTAGGTTTATCTGTGTCATCAATAGGTCAGATTATGACACATGGACGTACAGTAATTGTAACATTCTGGTTTTAATATAATATTCCACCACCACTCACAGCGCTGTATTATTATTACTGATCAGACCATGATCAACCCACCCTGTAGTAGAAGCGTGGGATGTGTTTAAATGAATCATCTTCTCCTTTTTCACCCCCTTTCCATTCAGTGTAATACTTGCTGAACAATTCAGATTCCTCTGCTTTCTTCTCCTCCTCTGTTCGGCCATCTGTTCAATACAAGGATAGATATGAACCCACACATTACAATTACTCACGCAGTACCAACCTCCTCTATACTAAATTAAATGATAAGCACAACATTTTTATCTACTATTCGAAGTAAACTGTTTGTAAACCTGAGAAAACCTATGGATGAATTTCTACTATGCAATACATTTTCAAGTAATTCCATAATTCATGTTGTTATTTAGTTAGTAAGTTAGTTTGTTAGTTAGTCAGTTTATATAGCTCACTTTTTACAACACAACGTTGCCCAAAGTGCTGAACACAATCAATACTTATTAAAATAAGTCCTACAGCACATACAGTTGAAGTCAGAATTATTAGTGCCCCTGTTTATTTTTTCCCCCAATTTCTGTTTAATGTAGGGAAGATTGTTTCAGCACATTTCTAAGCATAATAGTTTTAAAAACCTATTTCTAATAACTGATTTATTTTATCTTTGCCATGATGACAGTAAATAATATTTTACTTGATATTTTTCAAGACACTTTTATACAGCTTAAAGTGACATTTAAAGGCTTAACTAGGTTAATAAGGTAAACTAGGCAGGTTAGGGTAATTAGGCAAGTTATTCTATAACGATGGTTTGATCTGTAGACTATCGAAAAAAAATTAGCTTAAAGGGGCTAATAATTTTGTCCCAAAAATAGTTTTTAAAAAAATTTAAAACTGCTTTTATTCTAGCTGAAATAAAACAAATAAGACTTTTTCCAGAAGAAAAAAATATTATCAGACATACTGTGAAAATTTCCTTGCTCTGTTAAACAAAATTTGGGAAATATTTAAAATAGAAAAAAAAATCAAAAGGGGGCTAATAATTCTGACTTCAACTGTACATAACAATATAACAAGACAAACCTCTTGACACAGTAAGAATAAACTGATCAGATGACATTAGTGACCTACAAGGATTATATACATGTAGGAGAGCTGTTAAATAAGATGGTGCCAGACCATTTAATGATTTATGAAATTAATAATTTAAAATCAATCTGTATAAAACCACACGTTTGGAGAACGTGCCAACCCCCAGCCTATTTAGTTATAATATATTTTCCCTTATCTCTTGCTTTTAATTTTTTCTTTTCTTTTATTTATTTTATTATCACTGTTTATGTTACTTAATACACCATGTTGTCAACCTCCGACCTGTTTATATGCTCAATTTGAAAAATGAATGCACATCATATATTGTTTATGACAGGGGTCACCAACATGGTGCCCACGGGCAACAGGTAGCCCAAGAGGATTACATGTGTTGCCCACAGGCCTGTTCTAAAAATAGCTCACCATTGCACCACATACCAGTAAGCTGAATCTAGCATTTTTTGAAGCTATTCTTTTTAAATCACACCTGCACTGGTGTAAAATTTGTTAATGACATTAAGGTGTATATATAAAAAAAACTAAAACTATTTCAGACAAATAAAGTGTTGCATATTGATATTTCTGTTTCTTACCATGTTAAATCATTGTTGAGAACTATTGTGAGAAATCATTAACATGATCTGTCTCTTCACATAGATGAATATCATTAATCATTAATAATAACAACATATAATTAAAAGTAAATTGAGAAAAATTGGTATTTAAGAAAGTGTGTATCAAACTGGTAGCCCTTCACAATAATTGGTACCCAAAAAGTAGCTCTCAGTTTCAAAAAGGTTGGTGACCCCTGGTTTTTGCACATCATATACTGTGTGTTGCACAATATGAGGGTTATAGTTTGGTTTATTTTTATTCTTTTAAACAATTTTGTATTGTTATATACTTTTTTTCTATTTGTGCTGTTAATGTATTTTTGTTTTATTTTTGTTTGTTAACAGTCATTAAAAATCCAATAAATAGGAAAGACCTGTGAATATGTGTTCATGCTTGCAAGTCCTTGTCAGAAGCCTCGCAGACACGCAGGACTAATTGCAGTCTATTCAGGGCATGTTAATCTATACAGGATAAAATACTACACTAACTACAATTTTACTTATGGCAATCAAATCAGACAGATTTAATTTATAATTACATAATATTGTAAATAGATTATGTTAAAGTTGTTAAATTATGTTTAAGTTTAATAAAAAAAAATTGCCACGAATTTAATAATAGTATATTTTATAAAGGGACAATTTATCCTGTATTAAATAATACCATATGCATCTGAAAAATAAATTGACAATTTGATTAATTTACATTAGGGCTGCACGATATTGGAAAAATCTGACATAATGATATTGTATTGTAATATACTGTATCTATAAATTTTCACCAAATGATTAAACAGCACTATTTGGAAAGAATTTATAATCACACTTTATTTAAAGCTTTAATTCTTGACATTAGCAAAGTGTTAAATATGACCTTTGCTTTAATAAACTCATAACTTTGTCCTTATTAATAGATATCAAGTTAAAAGATATAAGAAAGTTTAGGTATTGGGTTAGGGATGTAGAATATGATCATACAGAACATTTGCTTTATAAGTACTAATAAGCAGCCAGTACCTCAATAACATGCATGCTAATAAGCAACTAGTTAATAGTGAGAATTGGTCCCTAAAATGTTACCGAATGTATTCATTTTGATTGACTGGGATGATTCTGCAGGGGGAGTGAGTGAGTCATGCATAAAATGTATTAAACAAACTACAAGCATTGATAAATGCAACAAAGCAAAGAAAACTCAACATAACTCAACAACTCAACAATGCATTTATATGGGACGTGACTATTGCGGATGCACACTGTGATATTAATGCTGAAACGATGTATTGTGCAGCCCTAATTCACATCATTTATTTATATTAACACATTTATTTACCAAATCAAAGTGTTATTTCTCATTTTGTTTGCTTTTATTACATTTTGAGTTATTAATGAGAAGCATATTTTTGTATTAATTTGTTTATAATCATTGAAAATGTAGCATCACCCAATTTTATTATTTTGTTTGTTTATAGTTGTTTGTGCGTATTTATAGTAATAAAATGATTGATTAATTGTTTTAATCTGATTTAATTTGATTATATAATTCACTGATTATCATTATTAATCAAGTATTCATTCCATTTTATAATGCTACATTTAAACAAATTAAACACTAAAATCTAATTTCTTAACCGGTTTTGCACGACAAAAACTATCCGACATGGGTTGGGTAAATCTTTTGGCTGATATTGGAAAAATTTGACATTGTGATATTTTGTTATTCTGCGCTATACATTGCGATATACTTTGTTATTCTTGAAAATAATGTTTGGTCACACTTTATTTTAAGGTTCAGTTCTCGCTTTTAGCAAACCATTTTGGCATTTGCTTTGATAAACTCCTAATTTACTCCTTATTAATAGTTATTAAGGTAGTTTAGGTATTGGGTAGGATTAGGAATGTAGAATATGATCATACAGAACATTTGTTTTATAAGTACTAATAAGCAACCAATATCTCAATAACATGCATGCTAATAAGCAACTAGTTAATGGTGAGAATTGATCCCTAAGGTGTTACCGAATGTTTAAAATATTACAAATATTACACTACCCAAATGTATTTATTTATTTATTTATTTGTTTGTTTATAGTAGTTTGTGTTTGTTTATATTAATAAAATGCTTGATTGTTTACTTTAATCTTACTTAATTTTAAGATAGAATTTACTTATTTTCTTTATTAATCCAAAACTCTTAATTAAAGTTTTTAATTATGCTAAATTTAATCAAAATAAAATTTCCTAACTGGTTTCCTGTCTGGTAACAAAAACTATCCAACACGGGTTGGGTAACTATGGTTTCAATACAACAAACTATACCATTATATGAATCTAATAAACAGCTGAAAATTAAAATAAAGTATATTAACGAGTATTTCGTATAGCTTACATTACAATGTTTTACTAAATCTGTCAGCAAATTTAGTGTTGCTATAGTAAAACACGGCTTATTTCCACTCTAAATCCTTCTTGATGTATTTAATTAAGTAAGGGATTCCTATTTACACCTATAAAGGTTATATTATTTGCATACATTACATACATTTGATCTCGCTATAAATCTCTAAAGTTGTTGATTAGCAAACAATCATCTTACCAGGTTTCAAAGAGGCGAGTCTTTTTCGCAGTAAATCTTTCCAATGTGCGGTTATGTCGTTTGCCATTCTTAAATACACTCGATCATAATATGTTTTAAATTGTGTATACACGCCACTGTTTAACAAATATTACTAAGTTTAAACAGAGCCTGGTCGATCGACTGTTTACATCTCTGACTTACAGTCGCGCGAGTGACGTCATTACAGCGCGACCACACCGTGGAGCGTGAATGGCTGCTCACCTCGAATGTACTTGCTTTCTGTTTAAAAACCAATGACTTTGACCGAATACTGTAAGTTTGGATATTTTGTTGTCTTAAATCACCAACTATTCTATCATCAAATGTGAGTTTAATGGAAAATATGCGATATATGTGCGGCGAGTAGCTCAATACTATGCTTTAAGTACAGAAGAACATTTTATTCGCTCTTAGATTGCTAAATATTTTGTATTTCTCTAATTTTTATGTATATACACATGATTACTTAACAAGAAATTAGGCTTTGAAAGAGCATACATCAATTATTTAATCCTGCGCACTTATTTGTGGTGGAAAGTTTCCATTACATCTAAATTAACGTTAGTTAAAATACATTATTGTAAGGATAATGGGATTTGTAGCTATGTCAAAATCAAGGACCTGCATGAAGCATCTCTGCACATGGGTTGTCAACCCCTTGTATTTTAGGCCTGATTCACCTCCACATAACATCACAAATGCTGTCAGATTGATCATAAATCCACACACAAGATATTACACCACTAAAAGAGACAAGCAAGCACAATCACCAAATGAAAAAGGCTTCACTCCTAGAACGAGACCCGCATTCCCTCATTCAGTATTCAGTGCCGGAGCAGCCAGAAAAAGAGCCGAATTTTTGAAACATAAGTCAGGGTTAGATACAGAAAATGATGATACACCTGTGAGAGTCAGAGATTCTCCAAATATGGTCCTTCCTGATCGTCCTCTGACCCCATCAGAATGGACAAATCTCAAAAAGGATTTCTCCAGGCCTGAGCTCTTTGAGAAGGTGATGATGGAAAATCTGGTCAGGGCCAATGTAGATGTCAACATCGCCAAATCTCTCCTGTCCTATGTGGTCCAAGATAAGGGTACTCTGTCTTATGAAATTCTTTTGAGGTATCTCACTATCTGTGTCAGGGCCGGGCATCACTCTGAGGTGTTTGACGCTTATGACATTATGAGATCCTGCTTCAAGTCTCTGGACCTCGGAGCATCAGCACTGTTTATTAAAGGGTTCAGTCAAACTGATCGTTGGAAGGAGGCGATTTCCATGCTGCAGGATATGAAAAAGGCCCTTCTGCCGTCTCCTCGTAATTATGGAGATGTTATTGCTGGAGCGGTGCTGCATGGTGACTCTGAGACCAGCTGGAAGCTTTATGATGAGCTTCTGGAACTGGGTCTGGTGCCGGGTCAGGACACCTGGCAGTGCCTGTTTCAGAGCGGGATCACTCAGCGAGGACATGAGGATAAACTATTTGATGTTCTTTCATATATGAGAGATAATCAGATCTACCCAGAGAAACCACTGATGGAAACCATCAAAGCTTGGTTTGAGAGGTAAGTGAGCAATTCCATGCATATGTTTGTTTTCCCCAGAATAGCAAAACCTTTTTTTTTTGTGTGTGTGTATGTTTTGTATTTTAAAGTACTGTATATATACTCAAAAATGTCTATATTAGTGTTTTCAAATAATTTTATTTGATTTACCAAAGTACTATAAGTGCAAATTTTACATCTGACACATCCATAATGAAGCTTTTCCCTCATAAATGCAAAAATGTTAAATAAAATAAAATAAAATCAGTCATTTAGGGTGGCACTGTGGGTAGCATGATCGCCTCACAGCAAGAAGGTTGCTGGTTCGAGCCCCGGCTGGGTCAGTTGGCATTTCTGTGTGGAGTTTGCATGTTCTCCCCGTGTTCGTGTGGTTTTCCTCTGAGTGCTCCGTTTCCCCCACAGTCCCAAAGACAAGCGCTATAGGTGAATTGAATAAACTAAATTGGCCGTAGTGTATGTGAGTGAATGAGTGTGTATGGATGTTTCCCAGTGCTGGGGTTGCGAAGGCTGGAAAGGCTTCCACTGCATAAAGCATGTGCCGAATAGTTGATAGTTCATTCTGCTGTGGCGACCTCTGAAATAGAGACTAAGCTGAAGGGGAATGAATGAATGAATGAATGAATGAATGACTTCCACAGACAAATTGATCACCTAAAAAATACCAAATGCAAAATAATGTACACCAGCAAAATAAACATTGTAATTTTTGATTACAATGGACTTGATTTTGTAGTGGTTTTTCATAACTGTGTAAATGCTTATTATATGTGTATTTTCATGATTTGTTTTATTTTTAATCTGTACAGTTTACCAGATCAAAAATGGAGAGGAAAGTTTTCATCTGTCACCCCCAGGTACTAATGAGTTTTAATAAAAAACCCTGATCATACAGACAGCTATAATTGGATGATTGGTTTGGATGTGTGTTGTGTTTCAGTGGAGACTGCAGAAATTGCAAGGCCTTGCTGGAGTCCATTCAGCTGACTGAGGTAGAGTATGCTCAGCTGAAGCACAACGTGATGGAGAAAGTGATCGAAGGAGGCGACGTCTTCAACAAAAGCAACCCAGAGGTCTGTCTGTTACTTAATGATTTACCTCCTTTCTAAGAGTTAATTTCTTCTTGATGGAGTTAATAAGAGTTAAGCCAGTTTTATTATCACTCTTAAACATTTTTTTACAAAAAAATTAAATTAATAAATTTGAAAAAACATGCCTAAATGTTTTATAAAAACGTTTAAACATTAAAATTAATCTTCAATTCAATTATTAAATGGAATTAACGGAAAAGCTGAAATAAAAATAAAGCTAAAAATGTTTACAAAAGGGCTACAATTTTCAGCTAAAATAGTAACAACAAAAACAACAGCAGCAAAGATATTTTAATTTCCATAGAGTGAACGACAGTTAAGCCAGTTTTGTTATCACTAATGTAAAACTCTTTAGGGTTCATACGGTCATGGAAAACCCGGAAAAGTCATGGACTTTCGACCTGGCATTTTCCAGGCCTGAAAAAGTTTTGGAAAAACAGAAAAACCCACAAAGTTTTGGAAAAGTCATGGAAATTAGATCTGTAGTCAGACTACTAACAATTAGTAGTCTGTATACTTGAATATAGGTTAGTTGTCTTGACTTCTATTCTGTCCTTGGCCAATCCCATACTCTCACATTATTAGTGCGGTGTAAGCATTATCTAAATACATTTTACATAGATATAAATATAAATTTGGCGTCACCGTGGCGCAGTGGGTAGCACAATCGCCTCACAGCAAGAAGGTCGCTGGTTCGAGCCTCGGCTGGGTCAGTTGGCGTTTCTGTGTGGAGTTTGCATGTTCTCCATATGTTCGCGTGGGTTTCCACCACAAGTCCAAAGACATGCGCTATAGGTGAATTGGGTAAACTAAACCGGCCATAGTGTATGTGTATGATTGAGAGTGTATGGGTGTTTCCCGGTGTTGGGTTGCGGCTGGACGGGGATTCGCTGTGTAAATCATATGCTGTATAAGTCGGCGGTTCATTTCACTGTGGCGACCTCAGAATAATAAAGGGACTAAGTCGAAAATGAATGAATGAATAAATAAAAAAAAGCAAAAAAAATCAACAAAAATTGTAGCAACAAAAACAACAACAACAGCAAAGATAATTTATTTCCATAGACTGAAGGACAGTTAAGCCAGTTTTGTTATCACCAACATAAATCTTTTAAACATTGTTGTTAAAATATTAAAATAAAATGAATGTATTAGAAAAAACATGTGTTTTAAAAACTTTTCAAACATTAAAATTGATCTTTAATTCAAGTATTAAAATGATCAATAAAAATATTTTTATGTTTAATTTAAGTCATAAATTTATGATAAAAAAAAACTGCTAAAATTTCAAGAAATTAAAACTGACAATATAAACGCATAAACACACTATGAACTTTATTAATCAATAACTAAATGTAATAAAGATTAAAAAGGCTGTAAGTATGAGTTGTGTTTAGTGGTGGAAAGAGTACTGAAAAATCACACTCAAGTCAAAGTACCATTACTTGCCTAAAAATGTAGTGCAAGCAGAATAAAAGTATCTGTTGTAAATATTACTCAAAGTATGACTTTCAAAAGTGCTCAAGAGTGGCGAGTATTACGCTGTAAAAAGCTGGGGTATTTAGATATACTTTGTGCATGTAAACGTAACATTCTGTAATGTACAGTATTTATTCATTGCCCAGCAGGCACACATCGTCATGAGATGTTACTATTAGGTTAGATTTAGGTTGTGATGTCAGGTGACCAAAATTCAATGTCTAGCCAGGACAACATTATTTTGATGTCCAATAACAACGTTAAATGACCTTTATGTTTGGTTGATTTTAGGTTGTGTTAGAAAGTGACCAAAACGTAGAGACAACATCTTAAACCAACATCATATTGATGTCAAATACTGACATTTATTCATCAGGTGTGGCAACCAAAATCCAACATGATGTCATAGTGGTAACGTCCACACAACATCAAGCTGTAACATCATTAGACGTTGATTTTAGGTTGTACATTGACATTGGCCTGATGTTGGGTTCTGAAATCAACCCGATTTTCATTTCATTTCAAATGCAACATCCCCACAACGTTGGGGTACAATTTCAATCTGCCGTCATGTTGACGTCTTGTGCCTGCTGGGTGTTTAAGGACTTTTCAGTCATCATACAGTAAACATCTGTCATCTTCTCATCAGTGAAATGCATCTAAACAGTCTCTGGGTCAACGCGTACAAAGATTTTGGACATCTTCTAGGACACTTTTAATGCTTCCAAACAGTTTGCTGCAATTATAAAGAGGACATGTCTTGAGGTAGTTCATTATGATGCAATTTATGTGCAGTTTGATTGGACAGGAATAACAGGACAGATTTTTCTAATCCCCATGGACAAGAAAAAATAAAGTAGTGACTGCAGGTTGAAAGTATGTGGATGAAAGTAGTGGAGTAAAAGTACCGATACAGCACTAAAAACGTACTCAAGGGACAGTAAAAGTACACATTTACAAAACTACTCAATTACAATAGTTTGAGGATTTGTAATTTGTTACTTCACACCAATAGTTGTGTATATAGTAATATATAAATTGTATAAATAAATACTAAAATGTGTTCTTTTATTAAAATCTTCATTAGCATAAAAGTATATGTAAACATGATGGATGGAAATGTCTTGCATTACAGTTGTGGCGGTAACAGGAACATTTTAATGAACCCACCTTTATCAGTTCAAGAGCTTTTTCCTAAAAGAACAGTCAAAATATAAAATTACAGAAAGGGAAAAAGGTCACATGATATCTTTAGGGTGAGTAAATCAACATCAAATCAGCATTTTTGGCTGAACTATTCATTTAAATCACATTTAAACTCCCTCCACTAGATGGCAGTAAAGTCCAGTACATGTTATATTCAGTTTTCTACATGACTCTCTATTTTAACGTTATATACATTATAGCATTCCTAATGCTTTTAGGTAACTTCTCCCTTAAAATTATATAAACAAGAACACCTTTAAGAAAAATAATGAACATTTTAGGATAGCACCAAACAGTCTGCAACTACGTGATCCACTTGTTTCACTATCCAGATTTAGATGTTGTTCCATGCAGTTTTGAGCCCTGTCTTAAATGGACTCTCTCCCTGAATTAGATGATGTTGTTGTCCTGTGGATGGCTGCTTTTTTCAGTCTGTGGGGTCTATAGATGTCGAAAGCATGTGATCCTGTCTGCTTCCACATTTAGATATGATGCAGGGGCTTTACAACACATGTTCCTTCATGCATCTGTCGGGTCCCCGTTTAGAAAAGCTAGAAAAACACAAGGTCACAAGGCGAGCGGCGACTAAAATTTCCATTTTACGCAGAGAAAACGCTCATGTTTGTTGTCAAACGCCGTTCTCATTGGAAATGCATTCAGTTTCCATGCAAGGGGACATTTTAATACAGTACATCTTGGAAAAACAAAGCACTCAGTTTAGCCATAAACAATCTCTCATTTGGCCGTGCACATGATTGATGCTGAGACACGAGTATTGCTTGTGTGCTGTTTTGCTGTCGTTAAAAGGCAACACAATGGGCTTTTACATTTCAGCCCTCAAAAGCCTCTCACATGAGTGACCCTGGAAAGTCCCAGCCAGTGTATGTGTGTGAGAGTGAATGTGTGTGTGTTCAGCGCTGCATGGACTCCAGCAGCTTTATGAAGTGAAACCGGTGCAAGGCTGTTAAAACACCCCCAGTCTGAACTCTGCAGAATCGTTTAACAACCCGGCCTGGACAACTATTTTGCCTTTAAAGGACAAAATTTGTGGTGCCTTTGGGTGGCTGACAGTTAACTGTGATAAATGTCTTGCAAAATGTTGCATATTTGCATTTCAAAATATTGCATAACACCTTTGAGATTATATGGAATATTTTGAAACTTGACGAATGTTTCCACATCATATTCATGAAAGTTTAAGGGTTTGAACAGTAAAAATAGATATTTTAGTAAGTTTCTTATCCTTGAAAATGGGTTATTTGGTCAGAAAAGAGCTGAAAAATTCATTTTAAAAAGAGTAAAGCAATTTAAAAGAGCTGTTTTCTATCTTTCTATATATTTAAAGCATAATTATCTAAAGAGCATCTTGAGGGACGTAAACAAAACCAATAGTCTCAATTAATTTCTTCCCACATAGTGACACATATGACACACAACGAGCCACGTATTGATAAATAATGTTATTATAGCTGTCCTAACATTAAGTTATGGTTGAATTACCTCTTGTTACAGTTATGAAATAGTTTAATAACAAGCAGGAAATGTTCATGGGCCAGTGACATGACCATATTAAAAATGCTCTATTTGGTTTATAAATGGTTTCAGCATTATTACTCCAGTCTTAATGTCAATTTGTTCTTGAAAAACCAATTTATTATGCTGATTTGGTATTATTTTTTTATTATTGTCTCCCTGAAAACTTCTTTCCAGAATGGTTTTCATAAATACAAAATTTAAGAGTATTTATTTCATACTTAATGTCACTTTTCATGCATTTAATCCATAATTTGCCGAACAGAAGTGGACATTTATTTAAAAGAAACATGCAACCCCAAAGAGGGAGCAAAACTCAGCAAAAGTCTTAGGCAACTATAGTATTTTCAGTAATAAAGATGGTTTTAGTTAAATTATTTCTGTTTTCGCTGTCATGTGCCAGTTGGAAATATCAGTTTACATATCTATCCATTCATTCATTTACTTCCGGCTTAGATCCTCTATCAATCAGGGGTCGCCACAGTGGAATGAACCACCAACATATCCACAGATCATTTTAGTTATTACTTGTAATAATCCAGTGACATTCTTGTTTGTATAAGGAGTTTGACTGCAGCCAATCTCATAGTCATTCAGTAAGTCTGAAAAACAAACTGAGACAGAGTAATCTGTGGCAACACCTTTAAAGCACTTCAATAAACCTGAGAGAAAAAGCTACCTGAAATACTAGAATGGTGGTAACACAATTATTTAATTAGTAATTAGTTATTAACGCTTAAAAATGAGTTGAAAAAAAATCTTCT